GCATGCCAATTATTTACAATTAAGTGCTCTGTGGAGTGACGCTGTTGGAAGGAGAATTTCGAGGTCCACAACTCATAGAGAGGCCCACAAACTGGGATTTAGCACTTGCACGGTAAGTTTTCTTATAAAAAAAGTGAAGTAAAAACCCTAAAGTTGCACAACTTGTTATAGGTCAAAGAAAAGCCACTATTAACTCCACTGCAAAAGAAAAATCGGCTTAGATGGGCTAAAGAACATAGACAATGGACACCTCAACAATGGTGGGCAATACAATGGAGTGATGAGGCCCGATTCGAAGTTTGTGTTGGTGACAATCGCAGTAGAGTTATTCGCAAAAAAAATGAAGCATTCCATGTTGACTGTCTGAAGAGAAACGTGAAATTTCCAGCATCCATTATGGTCTGGGGCAGTATGTCATCAAAAGGAGTAGGAAAACTTCATTTTATTGATGGAAATGTGGATACAAACAAATATTTGGCAATTTTAGAAGAATCGCTTTTACCAGTGATGGAAGAATGTTTGACATCCGGCCAAGATTTTGTGTTTCAGCAAGATGGTGCAGCGTGCCATACATCAAAAAAGGCTATAAAATGGATGGAAGAAAATAATGTACCACCTTTGAAATGGGTTTCCAGCAGTCCAGATCTGTCACCTATTGAAACTTTGTGGCACGGGATGAAAAAGGTTCTACGACAACATCCTGCTCGTACAATCACCGAACTGAGACAAAAGCTTCAAGAAATATTTTTGCCAAAACTTGGTCAACACTATGCCCCAAAGAATTGCAGCCGTAATAAAAAATAAAGGTGATGTTACCCAATGGTAATCTTTTAATTGTTGCTTTGTTAACTTCGCGCATTTATTCGCACATTGTTTATTTGTTCAGATGTTCTATTACTTATAGGTCTAAGTGATTTCAAATATGTATTTTTTACGACTAGAGTGTATCTAAAATGTTTTTGAGAAAATAAATTGTTTTAGAAGTAAATAGTTTCGTCATGTTTAGTTTATAAAGGCATATTTTGGTACAAATCTTGAAGTGGGCCAACTGAAGTGGGAAGAGACTCGTATTTTCTGTATTAGCCATCAGATTTGTTAGACATCATTGGCTATCAAAAAGGTAAATTGTAAGTCTCAGAAAAGCGCTGTGAAGTTTGGAAGGTACTTCGATTTTCACATTTAAAAGAAGATAAAACAAATCTCACCACAACCAAAGTTGATTGCTCCTATCTGTTCTAAGTAGGTGTGTATCCGACCTATGCTATTAACATCACCACTCTTCTTCAATATGCAACGACAGGTCGTTTTAGTTAGATATTTTGGTTTTACACTCCTCCAATTCTTCAAAATAGTATTTCTTATCTGTGGAAAAAATATTGTTACGAAATTGCTAAAAGATTATGCAACCTATTTACTAATATTAACTAATAATTTAATAATAATAGTAATACTGATAATATACGTTTTTATCAAATAATATAGAGCATAACTGGAGTTTAGTAAGATGTTATTCCAACATTTAACCATTAAAGTTAAGTATATTGTCAACGCAAAGATAACAGCCATAAAAATATAACAAATCACTGAAAGCCCATGTGTACTGAGTGAAGAATGAAAAGTTTTGTGTGCACATACTGCAAGGAAAAATTTAAACGTTCAAAAAAATCAACAAAACATTATACCGGTTACGTCGTAAGCTCGTGGTTTTAAATCTGCTGTCCAAATAATTATTACTGCACCATTATATGAGAAACCTCGTTGGAACAAAGATGTTGTATGCCTCGGAATTCTGATAACGTCTGTACCCCTAATAGTTCTATCGTGTATAGTGTTGTTAAAAATTATTTTTTCATATAGGTATTCTGGCTTAAAATTATTTAAAATTTGGTGGATAAATGTCGAAGAATGTAATTTGACCAACTCATCAAGCTTTAGCCAGCTCAACTCTGCATATTTATGAGATACATGGTCGAACATTCTCATTCCGAATATGACGCGAATTTGAACTAACTGAATTATGTGTTTAGTGACCTGATCCAAAGAGGGAAAATGTATGAGAATACAGTAATTCAAGACAGACACAACCAAAATCTCGCAAAGTTTTTTCTTCATTATGAAGTTTAGCAGATATTTGTTTGAATAAAGGCTGCGTAAACGTGCATAAGTATTTTTCGTCAGATTTTTTACATGTTGAGTGAATCTCAGTTTGAAATCAAGTTCTACACCCAATATTTGACAACCATTTTAGCTGGAGCTGCTTATTGTCGATGTTCTATACAAGTGCGAAACAACGTCGTTTCTCCTTAATAATAAAATCTTGTCTTTTTCCGGGTTTCTGCCAAGGTTGTGGTCTGCAGAATATTTCTATTGATTATCAATATCTTCTTGCAATATTGGAACAGTGCTCTTGTATCTCCTCCATAGTGAAACAATGGAAGAACTGGATGATCACCGAATGATTGAAAATATGAGTTGTGAACTATCAAATGTATAAATTAAGAACAAAGAGGCGCCAGAATGGAACCCTGAGGCACTCCTGAAGGTGTGGAGGTAACATCAGATGTTACATCCTTCAATGAAACACATTGAGTACTGTTTTTAAGATAGTCCTTAGATAATTTTATTACAACCTCATCAGAACCAACAGAACATAGCACATAAAAGTTTATTATTTATTATATCGAAGGCTTTAGAGTAGTCAACTGATATCGAAGCCAAACCCATTTTTCTGTCATGAGCAGCAAGATGTTGTCGCATAGCATATAAAAGATGTTGTATTGTAATGTTTTCTAAATCCCGATTGATTAGGTGGAATGATGTCTTTCAATTTATGATGTGAGTTGAAGTTGAACCATTTTTTCAAGAATTTTCGATAAAATAGGTAGTCATCTAATCGGTCGGGGATTTGATAGGATACCGGGTATCAAAGTTTTTGCTATAGGTATTATCAGTGCTTGATTCCAGATTTTAGGGATAATGTGAAGTAAGTGGAAAATATAACAGGTAGGCTGACCTTTATTATAGCTAGCGTAAGACCTCCATTCCTTTAGCATCTGATTTAAGAGATTTAATTGTTTGTGTTTTAATTTCTGAGTGATCAATGATTCTGAATGAAAAGGAATCTAGTGTAAAGATGTGACGATTTTTGTAGAAATGGCATAATTCTTCCGATGCGCCCAATAAGTACCACGACAAACTCAAGGAGAAGGTAGGCTTTGGACTGACCTCCCAAATAACAAAAACTTACCTATATAAAAGTGTCACCATTTTTGAGATATAGAATTTTTTCTTAAATTTTAAAAAACGAACCTTTTCATCTGTGGTCTTCAGCTGCATGTACAAATAAGGTTATACTTTGTTCATTTTTTCTATAAAATACTTCTAGATAGTTGTTTTATCATATACAAAAGCAATGTAGTTATAAGATATTAAAGAACCATGATAAAATAAGGACTGTTTTTGGATTTATAACCTGTCTACTGTGAACTAACATGAATTAGTCAATGCTATCATTTGGATCAGATAGATTATCTGGAAAAGAGTGTTTACCCGAGAATGTATATTAAGTTGATTTAAACCAACCCATACCTTTTTGCGTCATTCTGTTAAATAGTGATATTAAAAAAATTCTGAACTGTTTAAATGTTAATAAACTTAAACACTAATAAAATAAAATGTGTGTCAATAGGGAAATAATTAGGTGAAAATACAATTAGGCTCATGATTAATGATAAAAAAATTGAAGCAGCCAAATCATTTAAATATGTTATGTGGGTTTATACATAGATAGTAAACTACTGTTTCACGAGCATTATGAATACATTATTTCAAAAATATCAAAAAAGATAAATTACTTCTATAGTTTCCCATAATCTTAGTATGTAATCCAAAAAACACTATAATTCTTCCACATTTTTTATATTCTTGTTTACAAAAAATGTAAATATGTTTTTAAAATTACAAATTCTACAAAATAAAGCTATGAGAAACATTTTAAATAAAAACAAATATGCTAGGATTAAGACTATGTTAGAAGAACTACAGTGGTTGAATGTGAAAAATTTCATATGTTATTTAGTTCTCATTGTCATATTCAAATTAAAAACTCATTTATTACCACCACATTTAGAAAACTTCACAAAATTAAATAGTCATCATAACGACGAAACTAGAGGCAGTATAGATTTTCATCAGCAAAATTGTATTTCAAAAGTATTTGAATTTCATAAATTGAATAATATTAAACAGTGTTTGAATTAAAACATGTTTAAGGTGAAATTAAAAAATCACTTAATAGACAATAATGTAAAATTACAAAAAATGGGTTGAAGAAAAATGTGTTAGAGAATAATTATATAACATTGACTGTAGCAGTAATGCTAAATAAATCTTCAACAACAAAAAATGTAGATATGCTTCTTTTCCATCCTCACCTGAGAAAACGCGTGATTTCTTTTTTGCTTATAAATGTTCTACTATTTTATTTTATATATGTAGCATGAGCAATATCTTTTTCGTTAAGAATGTCGCGCAGGCGGGGATATAGCCATGAGGCAGGTGGTTTATTTACTCTAGTTGTAGTTACAGGAGCATGTTTACCATAAACTCTCATCACTGTATTTGTTAGGAACTCAACTTTCGCATCTATCATGAAAGTTGTGTCGTCTGAATTTGGAGAAGCTAAGTCACATAGAAGATCTTCCTCATCGAAGCATTTGAAGTTCCTTACAGTAACGAACGTTTGTTTCCTGTTCAAATCAGGAATGGAAATAGTGCACGGTACCATTTGGTGATCTGGTATGCTGTTACAATCAAGAACCAAACAGTCGGAAATAATGTCTGGTTTGTTAGTCAAGACTGCATCTAATAAGGTTGCTGTGTTACTTGTGATTCTAGTAGGGTCACTGACAATTTGTGAAAAACCCACCATTTAAAAGTATGGCTTAGTTGTCGCTCAAAATATCAACATTCAGATCTCCCACAATAATAATATTAGAAAAATTGTTCGTCATTAATGATAACATAAGATCTAGCATCCTGATCCAATAATTGCGGTTTTGCGAGGGCGGTCTATACAACACGCCCATAAGCAAGACTTACTGCTTACTTTTATGCTGAGTCTTAGTTGTTCAAAGCAATTTCCAGAGTTGTTGTCAAAGTTAATAATTTCAGTGGATACATGGATTCCTATACCGTCAATGCGGGATCCCCGGTCACTACGGAAAAAAAATTGTAATTGTTGCTACTCGCCACATCATTGGTAATGTCTTGACTTAACCATGCTTCAATTGCAGCGAAAATATCGAACCGCACAGTCTGAATGAAGTCAATAATTGCAGCAAAGTCGGACATGAGAGACGCACGTTCAGATGACCAAGCTTTATTGATTTTGACTTATCCATAATCCATTCTAGCAAGACTGAGAACGTAGTTTTCAAAAGTGGACAGGCTTTATCAGATGCAGCAAGCTCAACATTTATTTTTGTGTGATATATGCGATTATTCTGTACATAGTTTCCACATTTCCCAAAATCATTATCACACCTTTTACTTTACACTAGAACACTTAAGACAAGTAGATACATTAGATGCACAGTTTTTTTTCAAGATGACCAAATGAACAGTATTTTCAGCACTGCATAATATTGAGGTGGTTAGGTGCACTGCTCCTCTTCCATCCTATATAGACGAAACTTTTTGCTAGTAGAAGCTTTATAATGGATGGAGATACTTCTGGGACTATGTGCATATTTTTTGAATCCCTCAGCCTTAACTTTGTGACTACTTTCATCGATGTTGGAGCATCGTCATCGTTCAAGTTATTTAAAGACGATATGTTTTGAACCATACTGTTATTATCGCCCATCATCACTGGATGCAACATCTTTTATTATCACACGACGATTAAATTTCTTGGCTTCCCCAATGTGATAGCCATTATCAAGCTTGTTTTTAAGAGTTCCCTTCAGTGTCCTGGTAGCTGTTGTAATATACAGCTACACTATCTTTTTTTTGTACCACTTGTGCACGCTTACTTCGACTGCATTGACTGAATCCGTAAAGCATTTGACTACATCGGATTCTGTTTGTTGTTTGCTGTTTTTAATAACAATACAGATGATTCAATATTGTTTACAAGTTTTTTAGCCTATCACTGTAGGTGGATGTAAAAACATCCTTGTGCGCAAAAAGTGGTTCACCTTCGCAGGCAACAGTATTTCTGCCAGCAGGAATATTATTATGGGATAATTTTGATTTTAATAGTGTGTTTGAATATTCCAATTCATTTACTAATTTTGCATCAGACCTTTTTGATTTCTTTCGTACAGATGGATAACTCAGATGATTCACAAGTAGTCAATTTGCCACAGCTCTGATTGGAGGAGGGCCTTTCTAATTTAACCTTGCAAGAGTCACAAAACCATTGTAAATTATCTCATTTCAATAAAATTCTTAGGATATCGTCTTTCACTACCACACGGCGATTGTGGAAGAGTGTTTCGCAATTTCTATACGACACAAACTTCGCATTAACTTTGGAATTGTTTGAGCAGCGCGCTCAGACGTGTACATCGTCCGCTATTTGAATTAGTTTCTCCAATGTCTTAACGTTTTTTTGTAAAATACTTACACACATATACCTTTCTGGTGTTTTGGTTTTTCCTTGAAAGTAATCATTATGAATAACCTTTTCAAGATGGCTTATACTATTTTCATCCACTGTTAGTTCCATATCTGGTTTATCCAATGATGTCAACTGCTTTGTGGTATTCTCGTTCAGTTGTGTGAAATCAATTCTGTTTAGTGTTGATGTAGCAAGAATTGAACCAGGAGAACTTGATGGTGAATCATGATTGATGGGTGTGTTGTTTTCTATTGCAGTATTACTTGCCACTTCTTCTGCTGCAGACTTTGTTGGTTTCGGTGATGACTCTTCGTCTGACATCTCCACATCTACTTCCACATCTGAGTCAGAATCATCTGCTTTTTTCAGTTTTACCTGCATAAAAGTTGATATAATCAAATGGGAAATATTTTTAGCTTGTTAAAAAAGTGAATAGTGGATAAAGCATATCAAAGGCAGTTCAGGTGGATCATTTAAAAGGTAAAAAATCCAAACCTGTCACGTAAGTTTTTATGATTGATGAACTTGAATGCTTATAAATACAACGCATTTCCATCAGTTCACATAGTAATAAATATTTGTTTGCAATAAAAACTATGGCACCAAGTAGCTTGACTATGTACTTCCCATGCAATTCTAGACAAATGGACTTTGATCATGCCGCAGGTACAGGAACCGTATTTAAGACAACTTTTGCACACTCTAGATCGCTATCAAAATCCTTATACCCTGATATAAGACCTTAAGGTAGAATAAGAGTTAGCCAAAAACAGTACTGTTGATTTAAAAAAATGAAGTCATGGACTGTGAATATGTACCATATATAGTATCTGAGTCAACTTTTGTACTTCCTGATATCTTCACTATTTGTCGGCCAGCGAATAGTGAATTGAAATGATAATATAAAATTTCTTTCAAATAATCTGCTCTGACTAAACATCGTTGATAGTATCTGAACAAATTTCGCACCCGTCGTCGATCTCAATAACCCCTACCACTGCAAATGCTGGGTACTTCTGAAACGTCAAAAAGTCTGATTTTGATCTTTGGTGTTTTGTCCCTAACCATTTTCCAAAAAGTCTTTTCATCCTTGGTCCATCGGGGCCAGGTATTAGCGGACAGACAGAACAACAGACAGATACACCAATGGAAATGAGTGATGAGGTCATGTACATGACATATACAGGGTGACTTCGAAGTTGAGTACCGCCCTGTCTCAATAATAATATTATGTGCTCGTGTTTGGCGACAACGGATATAATCCGCCGTATCGGTTCATCGCATCGGAAACAAAAAAGCGAAAGAATTTGGAACGATGTTTTTACAATTATTTCATTCATTTGTATACAGTCAGTGTCAGTGAATAGTGGTATCTGTTGCGTGGCTCAAACGAAATAAAAAATGGCACATGTTTATGCGGATCGGTTTCCCAATCGAGTGCAACCAACCCCTCGTGCCTTTGTTAATGTAGTACAACGGGCTCGTGAATCAGGTGACTTAAGACCACACAGGGGACTGCATGCCGGTGGTCCAAGACCTCACGATCAAATACAGGTCCGCACTGAAATACTTGTAGGGAGGATACTTTATAAAACAAGGTAAAAAAAATGTTTTAATTTTTTTTTATTTTTACACACATATTTTGGTTTATCTTCCTTCTACAATCATTATCTGAAAATTAATGACTCAACTTCAAAGTCCCTGTATATAAGAAGCTGAAAACATCTCATATCTGAAATTTTTACGAATACTCCTCGAGTACCTCCTCGTCAGTGATGTGGGAAGTGGAAAAGTTACCATATAATAAATTCAATGTGACCCAAGGAAACAACTGTAAATTCTTTAGCACTCAGCATTGATGATTTTTTATAATATTTCAGACTTACAATTTCTTCTCCATCACACAAAGGGATAACTGGATCTCTCCTCTTATCAATTTCAATATTGCTTATTGCAGGTTTATGTTCCATCAGAATTAATTTCATATTCTTGTTTTCCTGTCTGAATTTGTACTTGATTTTCTGAGCTTTATTCTTCATTTTCATATCCTTTACTCTCTTCTTTATCTTGATTGCAGACTCTAATGGTGACTTAGCTTTGAGCCTGGAAGATGCAGCTTGAAAATGTGTCTGGTAATAATTTTCCTTTTTAGGTTGATTATTTTTAAAGGGGATTGTTGGCTTTGCTGTACTCACTGCTGCTATCACTTCTTCCATACTAGCTGGAATCTATAAGAAACGTTCATCATAAGATGGACAAAATACGCAACGAATCTACAATAATTATATTGCCTTATTTTTTAAGAGTTGACTAACAAAAAATTAAAAGATAGTATAACTCTTCTCTGCCTTTTTCTTGTATATACTATTAACACACTGGATTAACATACATTCATTTTTGTTTAAGTTGAATGCTATACATGGAATATTTATTATTATTTATTTTATCTTTTGATGCACAAATTGGTTGACACTGACAAATCCACCAATACATATTGGTGATATAGATCACAATAGATATTGATCATGTAGCATTCACCTAATAATTGAAAAAGTATTAATTGAGACATATAAATAGATATATTTTGAGTATTTTTCAAGTGCTGAATCCAGTTTTGAATTAAAAGAACAGTTTACAGTTCCTTGCCATCTCTTTAACGTAAAAACTGGATCAAAGGACCTAAGGACTCCACGCATAAACGAGCCGCCTAAATAAATAAGTTTACCATTCCTTTTTTATCAGTTCGAATGGAATCTCAAGAAACAGGAGACAAGAGTGTGAAATAATTATCAATCTATCTCTAGAAACGAAAAAGTTATACTGTCAAAATTCCGTCCCGCAGAAATATGTTCGTTCTGAAGGCGATATTTACGTCACATCTCCATAGTCAGTATAGCGGTTGGCCGACTACACGTTGTAGTACTGACCGTCCTACAACCAATTTGTTTACTTAACAATAATCTTTATTTGCAAATACAAATACTATACAACACCTGTAAACTACTTGTGATACAAAATTAAGGATAAAATCTTGCTTTAAAGCATATTATTAAAATCTGTCTTGAAAAATTCATCAATTGTATATGGTTCTAGATTTAGTAATATCTTATATGAGATTTTTTTAAATGCACTTAGTTTTACAATCTTTTTCACAACTGCTGGTAAATGATTAAAAAGTTTTAGACACTTATAAAGAGTTCCTTTTTTCAAACAATGTTAATCTATGCTTAGGATAAATATATGATAGTTAAAAACTCTATTATGGTTACTTGTAGGCTAATTAACTGTGAACATTCGCTTATTTTTAAATAGATATATGAGGCATTCTTGAATAAACACTCCAAAAACTGTTATCATACCGAATTGCTTGAATTTGCCTCTACATGATTCAATCAACTTCAAACCTATAATATTTCTCAATATTCTGTTTTGTATTACAAAAATTTCATCAAAATCACTACAGCCTCCAAAAAACATACGAGGGATGTCTTTTAAGTTTTGCATATGGAAATAAAACAACACAGTAGGTAGTTTTAAATGACTTTATTGTTTTTCGAAGTATTCTCCACGAAGATTAATACACATCTGCATGCGCTCGAACCAATTATCAAAGCACTTATTCGATTCGTTTGCTGGCAGATCCAAAACGGCATTTTTGAATGCGTCAACTGCTTCTTCTGGTGACTGGAACCTTTGACCACGCAGTCTGTTTTTAATTTTCGGGAAAGTAAATAAATCGTTAGGACTTAGATCGGGACTATATGGAGGAGGTCCAATAATTCCACGTTTTCTTCCGTTAAATACTGCCTTGTTTTTTGGGCTGTGTGCGAGCTTGCATTGTCTTGGTGGAGGATGATTTTTCGAAGCTCGGTGATGACTTTTGGCAAACAAATGGTGGTTTACCAATCCGCAGTAACAGTCCTTTGCCCATTAAGAGGAATTGTTGCAATATGACCCGCTTTTGACACAAATGTCGCGACCATCTTTTTCGAAACACTTCGAGAACGGCTGACTTTTATTGGCTTTTCTTCACCTTGGAACACCCAAATAGCCGACAGTCGTTTATTTTCTGTTTCATAACAGTAAATCCACGATGCATCACCACTAACAATGCGGTACACATTTTTTGAGTTTCCGGAATTGAAACGGTCAATCGTTTTTTGACACCAATTAACCCCGGCTGCTTTCTGCTCTTTAGTCAACAGGTGGGGTATCCAACGAGAAACTAATTTTCTTACTCCTAATTCTTCATGAATTTTTTTTTGAATTGAGGTCTTTGAGATCTTCAAGGATGCCTCAATATCGCGATATGTCACATGTCTATCTTCAATGATGAGTTTGCGCACAGCATCGACGTTTTCCTGGGTGACTGCCGTTTTTGGTGCACCCACCCTGAGATCGTCGCTAAGACTCACCTCGTCCACGTTTGAATTCTCCATACCAACGGGAAATTGTCGACTGATGTGGCGCTTCGTTGCCGAAAACAGATAGTAACTCAGCAAGGCATTCTTGTTGCGATAATTGTCTCTGAAAGTTGTAATAAATTATGGCGCGAAAATGTAGTGAGAACACTGCACCTATTGCTGTGAAACTTTGAATTTAAGTAACTATGTTTCTATATGCAAAACTTAAAAGACATCCCTCGTAAGAATTTTGAAAATTTGCTCTACATTTATTATATTATTGTTTACATTAGTTTTATTAAGAATTAGCCTATTGTTAAAAAACCAGGTTTGTACATTGTCCATATTATATTCCATCTCATCACATCCATTCTCAGGATCTGTAGCAGTTATGAGCAAATTTGTGATTTTGCATACATCATGTTTGATACAGGTATTGATGTCATTTAAAAAAATTACAAACAATGTGGGACCTAATATACTTCCCTGAGGCACCCCTGTTTGAACATTAAGCTCGTTCGAAATAGCTGTTCCATTATGTCCCAACAGTTTTACTTTTTGCTTACGATTGCTGAGGTATGATTCTATCCAAGAAAGTGCCGGTCCTCTAATGCCATATCTTTCTAACTTTTGCAATAATATATTGTGATCTAGGCAGTCATACGCTCTAGTAAGGTCAAGAAAGATACCCAGTACACTCTTATTGTTGTCCAAGTCTTCTATAATATTCTGAATAAACTTATAAGCAGTTGAAAGGGTTGATTTTACTTTAATATAACCATGTTAAGTTTCCTTTATCAGGTCATTTAGAGTTAAAAAATTCAATATTCTGTTATTCATTACCATCTCAAATATTTTTGAAAAAACTGATAACAAGCTTACGGTTCTGAAACTATCAAAAGATGACAAATTGCCTTTATTCTTGTAAACTGGAATGATAAGTGCTGTTTTTAACTGATCAGGATAAATACCATTTTTCAATGAATTATTGATAATAAATACTAATGGATTTACAATATAATCAATGCATATTTTTATTATTGTACTGGATATTTCATCTTCACCACTACTGTTTTTATTTTTCAAACATTTGACAATTTCAACTAATTCAACTTTTTTTACAGGCCTAACAAACATTGAAAATAAAATTTGTTTAAGAGTGCATTCATAAACAGGATTGTTGTTGCGAGTTAAGTTCTCAAATGATTGATTGATTCCAATTTGTTGAATTTAGTCACTAAGTTACTATATCTTCAGTTTTCTATATGGTTATTATGACCGAAATTACAAAAAAAGTTTAATAACAAATGTTGTATTGCTCAACAATGTACGACCACAACAATTAAGACATCAAAGAAATATTTTTTTACATACCTTTATGTTTAATATCTTCATACACAAATTATATAATTTTTCGAGTAAGGGAAATCAACTATTTTCGTTAGATCCATTGCTCTATAACTGCCTTACAAATGCTCAAATTTATTACTCTGGAGCAACTTTTGATCCCCACAGGTCAATAGTACGATTTTTATGCAAACATATATATATTTTCAAAATATTCTATACTACGATTGTTTTCAAGATTTTCAAAATTAAAAGAATTTTAAAAATTTTCAGGCTGGTCTCTAACTGTTGAACGTGAAGGTACCACCCGGCAGACACCTAAGGCGGGCAGAATGTGTCCATGTTGCATGCACACACCTCCTGATCTTTGAAACTTTAAATGGTATTCTGAACATGCAAGGGAAAGCCAATGTTTGCTTAAAATTGGTGAAATGTTCATGTAAGTATTGGATGAGGGGGAGGGTTAGAGATTTGGTTACTTTTGCTGACAAGGGGAAGGGGAGGGGTTAATAATTGTAAAAAAATTGCTTCCATAATACTTGTATGATACATCCAAATCTTATGGGTATGGCAAGATTTGTTACCAAATGAATTTAAGGGTTTTTGGTCTTCACTCACTTTTAGGAGATTTTGAAATCAACCTGAGAAATAAACAATGGTTCTGAAAGTAATTTAGTAAATTTAGAAATGTGGTCAAGGATCTGAAGCATTAATTAGACTTTCTAGAGTAGTAATGCCAACTCTATTTGTTTGAAAAATGGATTTAGGGAGCTATGAAACTAGGTGACTCAAATATGTTTTTTCTCTAGTAATTGGTACTATAAACTGTATTCCTCAAATGAGAAGCACCTGTGTAAATAATAACCAGCATTTAAAATTGTGTTCTGTCAATATCATTATGTCAACTTGACAATTGAGAAAATTGTGATATTGAGTATGGCTATTCTTAAATGTCTCCAATAATAAGCATATTGGAAAACTTTTATAAATGTTTACAGAAGGAAAACAACCAACAAATGCACCTTACTCCCTTTAAAATGAATTAGTCCACAAATCATTTTCGTTTGTTAGTTTGACAATAAGCTACTAAGAATTTTAGAGTATTTGTGGAATAAGTTTGAAATATCATGATTATGATGAAAATTGAATGTTTTGGGATATCATACCATTTAAACAAAACATATAATGTCCGTAGTGAAAAAAAAACTATATTTACCTCATTTGAGAAAGTCATTCTTAAACTTGCATATTATTATATTGTAAAATATATTTGAAACTTATTCTCCAATTTGTTGCAGAAAAAGTGGTACAAATTGAAAGGACTTACTTGAGTATCATCTAGGACATCATCAGCCAGCTGGGCAGTACAAATATCTCCAGTAAAACCATCATTGAGACATTTATCATCATGGCTATGATTTTCAAGATAAAAATTTTTCAAGTAATACCTAACTTCAGAAGGTGTTTTAGAGCCTATAAACTGAGCCAGGCGTACATTACTTTTTCCAAATATATCAATGCCTCTTTCAAGCAAATTTTTTTCTTTTTCTGTCCATCCACTTTCATCTGTTATACTGTTTTCTGTAGATGTTTGGCCCAGGCTATCAGTTTCAAGTTGACTTCTTTCAAGTAGGCTCATTGATAAGTTGTTGGTATCATACCAGTTGTCTGGATTAGCACTGGGTTTATCCAAGAGCCACTGTGGGTGAATTGTGAAGTCACAGTTCAGTATATCAGCATTTTGGGATACCAAAGTTTCTGAGGTGTCGTAGCTGTAAAATAATAATGATGAGTATAGTGCGAGGAAGTCGCCTTGCGTGGCCATGCTATCTTTATTCGGGTCTAATGCGATACTGAACTAATAATGTACAAGACAAGGCCAATTTATAAACTCTGACATTGCCGTACCGCCGGCGTTCCATTGGCAGTTGAAATCAATTGATATTATAACAAAGGTAGGTACCTATAGCGTAAGCAAAAGGAGTATAAACGTTGAACCAAAGTAGGGTTGAGGTTAAATAGTTCTTGATATCATACTAACATGTTGCCGTTGTTTTTCGATAAAAAATTGCCCAAGTTAAATTCTCCTAGGATATCTATCTCATCTTCCTCTGCCATTTTAATAGTTTGCAATTAAATAGAAAAGAAACGTAAATAAATCAACAATCACAAAGTCACAAGGAGAATATAAACCACAAAACAGAAAACATATAATACACTGATCTAAACAAAAAAATGATAAATTACGACAGATGACAACAGACAAACGGGACAAACTGACAAATGTCATAGCACATAGCACAAAACGCTCAAAACTTATACACGGCACAGGATAGAAGAATTTCAAGTATCTGCGAGAAACCATCGTTGCATTAGCAACAAGTGCCAAAAGCTGCAGTTTGCCTCGGTTTTCGGCCATAACTTTTTTGCTGTTAGTCGGATCTTTTTACGTGTTGTCTCATTTTGTAGGACTCGTAAATACCTAAAATTCTTATATGAAGAGTTTTTCCGTTCCCGCAATTGAATCCCAAAAAACACGTTTTTTCATTCTTTGTTGTTGAATAAAAAGTTTTCCCGGAAAAATTGTTGTACCCATTTTATGCGTCCATGCTTTAAATACCCCCTTGAACAACTTGTAGCAATAAAACCAGACTATACAATTATTTCGCAAACCAGTGATATTTTCGTCTAATATGATTAGACTATGCAAGGAAATTGCTTTCTTGATCCATGCCTTAATTTGAACTAAAAGGTTAGACAAAAAGTTCATATGTGTCACCTTGCTATAGCTCATACTGTAAACACATCATTTTTTCAAATGTCAATTAGAGTAACGTCTTTTTTGAAATTCTTCTCGAAAGTGAAGACACGCAATCTCAATTAATTCCTACAAAATTGAGTCGCATATTTAGGCATCAGTGGGCAAATTCGCAATAATGGCGCTTCTGCGAGGTCTTCTGAAAAAAACACCTTTCCACCGCATGTATACCCCAACCACCGCCATCTGCAGAACAACATCGTCAGATGATAGTTCAGGGTGTCCGATACCAAAACCAGACCATCCATGTAAGATTATACACCCCAAGGGCTTAGTTTTAGGAGTGTACACAAATCCTGATGACCCATTTGATGTTGGTCAACTGACACCGACTGGTCAGAGATACGACGCAATGGTATGTGGTCGCGTAACAGAGCTACTGAAGTATTCGGCACTTCCAAGGACGGGAGAAGTAAGACTATTTTACAACCTCGATCCTGAATTCAGTATGGTTGCTGTGGCAGGTTTAGGAAGACAGTGCCAGGGGTACGATGTTTTTGAACAGATGGACGAAGGAAAAGAAACCATTCGTGTGGCTTCTGCACACGGATGTAAGGCGCTACAAAAGATGCGAGTACGAAAAGTCTACGTGGAGAGTTTTGGTCATGCAGAATCAGCAGCTGAAGGTTGCGCTCTCAGTGTATGGCTGTATCAAGAGAAAAAAGCGAAGAAACATCAAATATACATTCCAACGATCGAGCTTTATGACGATTGCGACTGGACAGGCTGGCAAATAGGTCTACAAAAAGCTGCTGCACAGAATCTATCAAGACAACTGATGGACTGTCCTTCGAACATGATGACTCCCACAACTTTTGCACAGAACGCTGTAGAAGTGCTTTGTAAATCTGGTATCAACGTAGAAGTCAAAGTGAGAGGATGGGCTGAGACTCAGAAGATGAATGCATTCTTAGCGGCGTCTCAAGGATCTTGCGAGCCACCGATATTCTTAGAGCTTAGCTACTATGGTGCTTGTAAAGATGAAAGGCCTGTTGTGCTGATCGGCAAAGGAATTACTTATAACAGCGGTGGAATATATTTGAAGGCACCCAACAAGCAAAGATTTATGAGAGGTGACATGGGAGGAGCAGCTTGTGTTGTAGCTGCTTGTAGAGCGATTGCTGGACTCCAACTGCCTATAAACGTAAGAGCACTCCTTCCCTTATGCGAAAACATGCCTGGATGTGCTGCAATGCGACCTGGAGATATAGTCAAGGCCATGAATGGTAAAAGCATAAAGATCGAGTCCACTGATACAGCAGGTAGACTATGTCTAGCAGATGCTCTAGTCTACGCTCAAAACTTTTGGCCTAGATTCATCGTGGACATAGGAACTATGACATATGACATGAAACATTCACTTGGTGCTTCAGCTTCTGGAGTTTGGACCAACTCAGAAGCCTTATGGGAGTACATGCTTGCAGCTTCGATGCACACCGGTGACAGAGTTTGGAGGTTTCCTTTATGGGATCACTTCACGAAGATGATAGCCGGTCACCACGCTGTGGATACCAAGACATACGGTAGAGGCGGAAAACCCAGATGCGGGGAAAATAACAAAGTGGCCGCTTTCCTCAATGAGTTTGTCCCATGTGGAGATTGGCTGCACATAGACAGTTACGGTGTCATGTTTTCTACTGGAGAGGATTACCCATATCTACGCAGGGGAATGTCTGGAAGACCTACGAGGACCCTCGTGGAGTTCCTATCACAGTTAGTCTGCCACCGCGAGTAAATGGACTAAAGTATACTATTGCTTAGAGAGATAAAATGAAATTGTATGTAACAAAGCTGCTACAATAGATATTATATCTGATATATCCATACGCCTGACTTTGTATTCAGAATCATAGTATAATTACAAACTTTTGTGGAGTGTGCCATTATTAGTCTTCTCCACGAAAGTATGAAAAAGTATGACACCGATAAAATCACAAACGTTTAGTTCGTACAGTTGTCGGTGACTTGTCGGTAAGTGTCTGGGATCTGGCATTGTAAATTCTGTCTATATAGCGTAGCAGAATGAACGGAATTTGTGTGGCGGGATCTTGGACAGGTTGGCGACAGTTGCACTTCTATTCGTCATTGTCCGTCAGAGCGGTCCGTGAGACCTTCGCTCTTTGTTAAAGTATCGTAGGTCAGTAGGTCTGTCTGGTCTGGTTGTCCAGATATACCAGACGAAGTCAGGGAGAAAGAAAGGAAGAAGAAAGAAAGGAAGGAAGGGGGAAGAGCAAAGAGGGTGAAGTGCGCCGTTTAAAGGGATGCCTTGCTATTGTTAACTGGTATTCGGTTATTTTAAATTAATTCAAAAATTAATTTAGGAAAAATCGTAATTTTGGTTGGATCTAGAATTGCATGATTTAATTTTGATCACAGTGCGAGCCGCGGTCTTGTGTGCTTGCGAACTTGCTCGACTGTGTAGTCTACTGACTCTCGCAACAGAGGGTTGCTGTGCGATTCCGCTTGACTATAACGTAACTGCTCCTGTTTGATGTAGTCCCTTAGGTAAGGGATGTCGAGGTCTCTGTGAAGGGTCTCGTTGGAGACATACCATGGTGCGTTAGTGATGGTTCGCAAGGATCTGTTCTGCAAAACCTGCAGACTACGCATATGCGTTTTGGCACGAAAACACCATGCTGCACATGCGTAAGTGATTGCTGGTCTCATAACCATCTTGTATAGCCGAACTTTGTTAACCAAACTTAATTTTGAGGTTCTACATAGTAAAGGGTAGAGTTGCCGAAACGTAATTTGGAATTTAGTTTTTAACGCTTCAGTGTGATTCTGCCAGGTCATCCCCCTGTCAAGAGTGACACCGAGGTACTTAGCAGAATTTCCCCATGGTATGCGAGCTGCATTCACTGAGACCTCAGGCGGGACGCCGCTACGTTTTTTAGTACAATAGATAGCCTGCGTTTTCGAGTAATTTATTATGATTAGCCACCGATCTGCCTATTCCAATACTTCATCCACCGCACTTTGTCACCTGCCGTGAACCAGATTCCCGGTACGCGACTGGGCCACCAGTGCAGTGTCATCAGCATATGATAGACTTCACAGTCGCTAGGGCAAGGGACATCATGCGTGAAAAGTGAGTAAAGGATTGGCCCTAGAACCGAACCCTGAGGCACGCCGGCCCTGATGGGCCGTACTGTCGACAAGAAATTATTAATTTTGATCCGAAATTACCTACCATCAAGGAAGGATACCAAAAGTTTTAGGAGCCAAAATGGAAAGCCCTTTTGAATTAGTTTATAGAGAAGGCCCTTGTGCCACACCTTGTCAAATGCCTTCGAGACTCGCTCCACAAGCCTAACCGCCTGTAACTCCGTACTATGCTCAGACCGAAATCCAAATTGCACTTCAGGACTCACATGGTGATCTGACGAGAAATTCGTAGCGAGCTTAGACGGAGCAGGCAGTAGGCTGATGGGACGATAGTCCTGGAGAAATATCGAACCCGCCTTCTTTGGAATCATTATAACTTCCGCAGTCTTCCACGCCGATGGAAAGTACTGGGTCCTTAGCATGGCATTGATAATAGCCACGAGATAAGTCAAGGACTTCCGTGAAAGCAGCTTCAGCGCCTTATTAATTATTTGATCCTCCGCAGGCGCTTTACGCATCTTGAGGTCTTTGGTATGACCTTGAAGCTCTGCTGGTGAACAATGCGGGATCTCGGGAGAAGCCGCTGATGTGCTGTGCAACTCTTCAGATGAAAAATCTTCCGAAAAAGAATCTTCTGAAGAAGAATCACTAATGGCGGCGTCGGGATCACTGACGCCGTTGGCCCTAAAATGTCTCCAGACGGATCTTACAATTTGTTGCTCCTCGTTGAGATCATTATCAACATATAGTTGGGAGAGAACTGTCGTTCCATAGCATCTGCGAAAACCTCGACCTTGTCCTCCGTCCTGAAGACTATGCCCCCAGGACCGTAGATGTGCGAGAGTTGTTCTCGCTTTCCGTTTCTGAGCGACTTCGCCACTTTCCAGAGAGGAGTACTTCAGTCAAGCATCCCCGCCAGAAAATCGTTCCATTGCTCATTGCGGAATTCATGGAGAGCATTTCTTACTTCATGAACAAGATTCGTCGCTCTGCGAATGTCTCAGGATGATAAGACCTTTTCGCTTGCTTAATTGCAGCCCTTTTGTCAGAAATTTTCAGACGAATGTCTGCAGGGAGAAAAGATCTGCCGTGTTGTTGTACAGGAAGCACAGCTGCACGCTGCAGAGGTTGCTGAACGAAGCTTGTCCACTCCGCTTGAGCCGCGTATATACCGTTCTGATCATCTATGATCGGAATATTGGGGAACTCTCTGAGAAACAACTTTTATAGTTCCCAATCAACCCGTTTCCTTGGAGAAGTTTCCTCTTCCACGGTTTGCTCATTACCCACTTCCAGTTCTACAGGAAGATGATCGCTAGAAATGTCATACATGATTTGAGCAGTGATACTGTATCTAGATAATGCAAAGTCGATGACATCTGGTGCCTGAAGGTGATTAAATGGGTGGTGCGTGGTCTCTTCAGTACTGTGTATGAGGTAGCCCTTTCGTATCACATGATTGTACAGTGGAATTCCACTGGTGGAATTCAACCTAGAATGCCATGCTCTGTGTTTGCAGTTGAAGTCCCCCGCTACAATAAGCGGACCAGAGTAGTCCATAAGGACTTCCAGGTCCGCCTCATGCAGCCTGGCAGCACACTTGACATTCACCGATGTGATCTTCAACGGGACAGCTCCTGTCATATTAACCTCCACGGAAACCGCCTCAATGCTCTGCATGTCGGCATTTGTGCTTCTATGGTAGTCAATTCCACGTTTCACTAGGACTGCCAAGCCGCCACCCCGTCCAGTTACAGAGCCACATCTATACTCTCAAAAGTACTTGATGAAATTCCCGTTTTTTGACCCAAACAATTCCAGAAAAGAATTTTGATGAATGCAGGCTGTCTACTATTGTACATAGCCATTTATCGGAAAGATCGCCTGCAAGGCCTGTGTAGCGCTTATCAGGGGACTAATTATCTGCTGCAAGGACCTTAGCGCTGTTGCCAGGTCCACGTTTTGAGCAGTCGAAGGTCAGCTCGGTACAGCACGGGCAGCTAGTATTTCAACCTTTGCTGCGTCTTCGTATGATTTTACTCGCCTTTGTGCGATGACCTGTAGATATTTCTCCTAGGAGTGAATCTACAGGTAGAACTGTTGGCCGTATGGTCCCCTCCACAGTTCGCACACTTGCGCGCCTCTTGTCCTGTTTGAGGGCACATATGTGTCATCTGGTCTTGCGCCCATTTTCGACACTTTGGCGGCGCAGTGCAATACGACTGTGCGTGTCCATACTTCTGGCAGCGGTGACACTGCCCAATGAGTCGAGAGTTCTTCTGAACCTCAACTCTGATAGAGAGCCCCAGCAGTTCATGTTCGTTGAACACTTGCTGTGACTTCTCTGTCTTAGGCAGGATCACCACCACCAAAGGCATGGGCACGCCGCCGTTGCGCTTCAAGCGAATTACGTGGAGGGGAGTATATCCCTTCTGTTCGAGCTCCTCTTTGATTTCCTGCTCAGCAGTTGACGCTGGGATTCCTTTAATAACAGCGTGAATGTTACGCTCAGAGGGCAGGGGAAATGTATGGTGAGGAACATTTTCCTCTTTGAAAAGACGAATTATCTTCCGGTAATCTACAAGCTACTGCTCGGTCAATCTTAATGCCAAGACTGATAAAAGAATAGTTGACAGTGCGCCGCTTTGCCGCATACCGCAGTGGTGACTGTGCCTGCGTGCCGAGGGTAGCGTTAGATGACGGAGATGTAGTGTTGCTGCCAGTCAAGGAAGCAGCTTGTGAGACTGAAATAGAGTTGCGACCTTCGTTTGAGTTGGGTGCTTGCATTTGAGAATGCTTTGGCTGGCTTGCAGAATCAGCAGAAGAAACAGACACAGGTGGTGTTATGTCCATTGAATTGTTATTGATTGGGGATTTCTTAGTCGGAAGGGAAGGATATTCGTTAATTTTACGAATATGTCGTTTTTTACGTCTCTGGATAGGGATAAAATCACTACCCTGTAGGTCGTCTTCTGTCTCTGTAGGTGAGGTAGGGCTGTTGTGTTTTCTCTTGGGAATTTTAATAGAACAGTCATCACGGGACACGAATTTATTTAAAGAAGTACTAAGTCTAAAAATCTGGGCACTGAGATTGTCCACGCAGTCCGTAAGTCTCTTGATTTGAGCTGCCTGGTCAGCGATGATCTGGTATAGCCTCTCCATTTCGGTGTCTCTTTCAGTATCTGCAGCTGTCAAAGCCTCACTAGGATTCGTATTCTCCAATCTCTCAGGTACGCCGCTTTTTACTTCTTCTCCACTCGCTATAATGGAGGGGTCACCTGGTGACCCTTCGGACGTGCGTTCCATCTTATATTCGCCTTTTCTCTCAGCAAATTGTCAAAAAGGAGGAAAAATCTGACAACTTGTCTTTTCCCTGTCTACAGGGCGATATGAAAGCTGCACTAACAGGGCATCAATATTGTCAACGTGTTACAATTCTGACTAAGACTTAAGTAGGTTAACTATCAGTTTTGTCTAAGAGCAAACTTTGACTATGACGTTTGGGGTCGATAAATACTTACAACTTACTTATAGCATTGATAAATCGGACGCGTTATTAGGTAAAAAAACGTATATAATGTCAACACGTACAGCTACACAACGAGTGCTAGTTCCAAGTTGACTTCTTACAGGAAAACCTACATAATGCAAGTTATTTTTCAAGATACGTAATACCTAGTGTAGCTTATATTCTGCGCTAATATCTCAGCGACTCTGAGAATGACAAGAATA